TCCGATCTCCGGCATTAGCATTATCTAAGATGTCTGAACAAAGGCTGAAACCTTTTGAATGTTATTCAGGATCATGAAGTTGACAACATGTGTCAAAGTGGCAATCATGATTATTGGAGAATGTTTTTCTTTTTTAAAAAAATAAAAATAATTTTCAAAAATGAAAATAAGAGAAACAATCTCCAATGATCATGGCCTTGACACATGATGTTAAGCTCATGATCCTGAATAACATTCAAAAGGTTTCAGCCATTGTTCGGACACCTTAGATAATGCTAATGCCGATGGAACTGTAACTTTCAAGCTTTATAACTCGAGATTTACTTAACCAAAAAACATTTCATCTATGTATTTTGGAAAGCTCTCAAGATAAGCTAAAAAAATATGCAATGAAAAATGGGGAATTCCATTAAAAAAATTTAAAGTAATCTTACCCTGTCCTTAGCGACACCACCCAAGGTCAAACTGATAAGATCAATAAATAGATCTTTTTAAACCCTACAACTTTTGTCTGAAACATTTTTTTAAAACTTATATTTTCCATGATGTTCAGGTGTTTCAGTACTTTTTGGACACTCTGTATATACATATAATATACCATATATAATATCCATATACAATTATGTATTATATATATTATAACATTATTATATATGTATATTATATATGTATATTGCATTATTTATATATAAAATTTATAAATTAAAATGAAATTTCTTTACAGGTTAGAAGTACAGCATTTGTGGCAAATCGTTCATAATGGTAAAATGTCTGGAGGAAAATGTGTCGCCACATTTTTCAGACTCGCGGCAGTAAGACGCGCGCAGTCTTACTAATTGCTGCTGCACTTATCCTATTAAAGGAATCGAGTCTTTTGAGATCCTAAAGACAATAAAGACTTTACTCTCATTTTGTTATAATAATAAAGATAATTCTTATTAATTATCAATAAATGTTAGATAAATAAAGATAAATCAATGGAAGATAGAATGTACACACATTTTACAGGGATCAAATAAAATATTTAATATTTAATATTTTTATTACTCGAAAACATCATGAAAAACTAATTAATTGCAAATATCTGTCCAATTGCATTAATCAAATCAATTTATAATTAAATTATAAAAAAATAACATGTAAAAATATCTTTTTTTTTCTTCTATTTGCCTTTAAATATACTGAATAAAAGGAATGTACTGCATATAAAATTGTAGTAACATAATTACTACAAATTGCAGAAATATAAAGAGATAATAAATCCCAAACGTACACATTTTTTTCTGATAAATATTCCCTATAATTAATTCTTCAATTTTGGCTTCTTTATGTCAATCGAGTATGCTATTGAAATTAATACTACTTGACGTTAGTATAATAACAAAGTACAAGGAATTTAAGTTTGTTGCATGAACAATGTCATAACTTTTGTTAACGAACTCCGGTTAGCTATAATAATTCGTATCTAGGTCATAGTCGTATTTATAATGTGTATATAGGGAGAGAAGGAAAATTTTGGTAACTGCAGTAAATTAGATAATATACGGTGAAAGTGTTAAGTGTGACCTTTAACATTGTTCCATCACAACGAGCAGTATTTTATTCTCTATGGGACATATATCACGATAGGGGTTATATATTTTATAAAGTGGAAAGAGACGACCAGCGTCGCGATCGGACGAATCCTGCGTCCAGTGAATAATATTTTTTATATATGTACTAAATCATACGTGTACATGATTTATATTATGACTTATTGTTAGCTGAATAAGTTATCAAATATCGTGTAATCGCATTATGTTGCTGTCGACAACGAAAAGCGATTTTAACTTTATTTCTTCGGACTTAATTGATCAATTACGACGGACAACAGTATACTTTTCCCTACGTAGAAATTGTGAGTACATTGTTCATAGATATTTGTTTTTTTTCTTTACAAAATACTAAACAACTATATATATATATACTTTAAGTTGGATATTATAAAGCTCATGAAAATCCTCAATAGTTGAAACATTCGTGTACAAATAACAGTAAACGACATCGTCGAGTTTAACATTTAAGGGTTAAATTGGCTAAAAGTATCGAATAAAATAGTTCTTATATAAATATTGTTTACCGTTATTTAAACTCGAATCTTATTCCATATTTTACTTTTCGCGATTAATAATATTCGCAATTAATGATAAATACGCGTGCAGACATCTTAAGAAAATTGTGTGATACTGCTGATCGCGATCGTTCGGGCTATATATTATGATACGTTCACGGAAAGAACACTTTTGCTGAATCCAGGTCTGAAAATAATTTTTGTTCAATAATCAAAATAATTTCGTGCAAAAGTCAAAATGATTGCTAGAATATCAAAACGTTTTATAGCAATGCTTATCAGTTTTAACATTCCAACTAATTATTTTAATGATTTAATAAAAAATTATTTTCAGATTTGTTTTTAGTAAAATTTTTAGACCTTTCAACAAAATTGTTCTTTCCGTGTTTGTTTGCTAAATATTCGCCAAATACAAATTTCGGGATATGATTTGATAAACTTGTGTTAATTAATGTTTTAAGTATATTCTGTATTGTTGCTCGTATACACAATATTATTGCGTAAATCTCTAATTAATAAATCAAAAATTTCCATCTCGAATTATTTCGCATTTATCGATATTTTAATATAAAAATACAACGAAATTGAAATCTGAATAAGTGGAACAATTAAAAAATTCGGTTAATAAATCAAACCGTCAAAATTAAACTGAATTAATCTTTTTTCCTCTAACAATAAAACAAAGCAATTTTGTTTGAGCATTAATATTTTTCGTCGTATCAGTAAGTTTCCGTAGGTAAGCTGTGTTTTGAATATATTGGGAAATATTTAGCCAGCGAATCACATCGTTCAAAGCCGGCTTTATTCACGGAACGTAATTATCGGAGCATCGCACGGTGTAAGCACTGCGGAGACGCGTGGGACCGGGCGCACGTGCGACTCATTAGGCTCTAATAAATAATCAAATCGCTGCATTGCAGACTGACGGCGTGCCAGGTTTACCTGCGCCGCTATTTGTCTCGCGCTCCTGAACGGAAGAGATTCTGTCTAAGATCGTTAATCTTAAATTCTAATTTCAAAATCGCGCACACGCGCACGCAAACACACACACACACACACACACACACACACACGAAAATGCATGTTACAGATTTTACATCTATAATTACGATAATGTGTATATTGAGGATCGGCACTCATTTCATGCTCAATCCGCTCTTGCCTACCCTCGGGTCGACTGAATGAGCAGAAAAAAGAAACAATGAAGAAACGTCGGATAATGGCGAAGGTTAATCCGTCCGTGAGAACCTTTTTAATCCTTTAATCAGGTATACCCACCTGCGGCTTCTTTCCAGAGGCACGTTCTCAAGAAGTATGTTGATCAGGCATTTTACGGAGGCTTAGACTTTAATTTGTAATTTACTGACTCGTATACATATACACACACACAAACATCGTTTGTCTACTGTGAAAAATGTTGAAAAAAAAATGAATTGATTCTATAATGTTAACGAATGTCAATATTCTATACTTTGTGTTTGTTTATTGCTGAGAAATATAAGTATCTTACTATAAAAGTTAACATATAAAAATAATGTAATATTATTAAATAATTTTTCTATTATAACATAAATATTTCTTTTATAAAATACCAATAATTAAACAAAATCTTAGTATCAAAATGTAATACAGATAATACTCGATGTACGCAATGATATAAATTGTTAAATATTATTAGTTTTAATCTTCTCCGCGCGCGCGTAATATTTAAAAAATAAAAAAAGTAATAATTTGCATTCATGTTTTTGCATTCATCGTTATCTCACTTTAATGTCTGTAAAAAATTGTTTTAATTAGCGCCGAGAGCGAATAATGCCAATAATTTAAAAGTCTGGTTTTAAAAAAAAATTTTTTTTTTTTTTTAATTAATACCAAAACCCAGAGCGAAATTCTGCGAATATTTCAAACCGGTGCGGATTGACGCTCCGTTGTATGATAGAGATGCATCGCGTAATGTCGGAGCCGCCGCGGGAACAAAAGTCTGCGCAGGATGACGAGCGGTGAACACGGAATATGTAGGTAGTAACAACGGACTCCTTACCGGAACGCCGGGACGCGTAATCAGTGCGCGAATCGTAAAATCGTTACGACCCCGTTGAAAGGGTCTCTCAGCCGAGCTAGCGCGCGGCTTCGTAACATTTGCATGGATAAGAAAAAAAAAAAAAAAGGAAAATGTCATGCATCCTCGCGGCGAAACACCATTTAAATTTTCGATCTTGATTACCGTCGTGTTCCCGTCTCGATCAAGAATCGATTCTTGCGATTGTACGAGAAATCTTCCACGGGATATCTAGCTTTCCTGCGGTTATTTCCCTTTCCTCTAACGATTTCACAGCACGTGCAGGTTTTCGCAGCTCTTGCTCTTGCTGTCATTCAGGCATATCTTGTTAAGAATTTCCCTGGCGATGTTCAAGCTCAGAACGGTCTTGCTGTTGTGCAACTTCGACATCACTTTGCCCTTGCTACCCTGACGTCGGAGTTTCTTTTCGCGGCTCTCTCGCAAGCGGATTTGCTTCAGAACGCCGACCAGAAGCTCGTCCACGTTGTGCTTGAGCCCGCTTGACGTTTCGATGAACTTGCACTCGCGCGACGTGGCCAACTGCTTTCCCTCTTTAACAGCGATTGTAGTTTCAAATTAATCGAAATCGCACCGCGGTATCGAAGTACCAACAAGATTGACCGATTACATATGACCAATTTCAGAACACTTATTCAAAATCTAAATCTATATAATCTATCTAATTGTAGTAAGTAGATAAATAAATCTAACAATAATGCAGTAAAAAAACGACATGCATGCATTATTTTTAATCAAAAATAATTGTAAGTTTTTTTTGCGTGTAAAATTACTTATTAAACGCTAACCTTTTCATTCTTATTAAGAAATACATACGAATATATGTTAAGTTTTTTGCATGTAAAAATTATTTATTAAACGCTAAATAAATCCCGCGAGTTCAGATCGAGGAAGTCGATTTAGACGTGAGCTGAATGTCAAAGTATCATTTAGAAAAGATTTTATTCAATATATTCACTTCTACGAATGCAACTTTTAATTTTTATGAAAAAATACATACGAATATATGTATATATAAAAACGCGAATTATACATATATTATCTAGAGCTTTGTGTCCACAATGCAAAAATCGGCAGCAGATCTCGAACGAAGAAAGAATTGATCGATCGCATTTGAACAATTTGGCCAATTGATAATTCGAGATATAGGACCGATTTCTAGCATCGTGGACATAACGCTTACTATTTTATTGTTTGTGTCTTTTTACCATTTGCCGAAATTATCCGGCTTCTGGCGAGGTCAGACTTATTGCCAACGACGATAACCGTATGTTCCTGAGTGTAATGTTCTTGCCACAAGTAGTTCAGTATCTCCTCGGCCATTTGGAAGCTCGTACGTGAAACGATCGAATAAACTACGATGCAGGCATGTGGCTCGTACGTCGACAAAGAGTTTTCAACCTGAAGAGTTTTTCAAAAATTTTTCTATATACATTTGCACCTGAATTAAATCGCGTAAAATTATATAGATCGATATCAAATGTCAGAAGAACGATCTTTTTTTATAAAATTATAAATAAAATTCATAGCGTGTCCTCTTTTTATTTTACACTTTTATAAAAAATTTCTAATTACAATAATAATAACAATACATTTTTTATTGCAATAACAAAAGATAAGACAACGGGAAAATGCTGCTATGAGTCTACCTGTTTATACAGTCAAATATAAGCGGCATCACGATAAATTTAAATTTTAAACTAGTCGTTTACATGATGTAAAATGTAAGACGCTACGATTATATTGAAAATGAATACTATTACAACTTTGACAATATATATTCATCCTCGCCAGTTCTTCACAAGAAAAACCGAGAAAATGCATGATAGAAGGCTTTAAAGTTTAAAGTCTGACTGAATTAAAACTTTGGTCGAATAAAACTCTATAATCGAGAAACAGTGCAGCTACAGACTTCTTTAGGCAACGGAGCTGCAAACTTGACGTTAAAGTGTTTAAGTGTGAAAGAATTTGTATAACTTTGCTAATATTGCAATTGTTACACACATATAGCAGCGACGATAAATTCTGTTAATTCAATAGATTTGCGAGGAAAAAACTTCAAAGTAATCTAAAAGCTCTCGCACGCTTCACTCGCAATTTATATTTCCTAATAACGTTTTAATAATTTAGATATTAAAACTATTAAATGTCCTTCTTGATATTGCTATTTTCATCGTATTTGTTGCACAAACAACAAATTGTACAAACACAAGCAACTTAGCAAACTTCGCAACAGTGCAATATTAAAGTTACAATTGTCGTCAACTTCTACGGCTTGGTACATGAAATTCGCATTATCACACGCTGAGCGGACCTAGTCGGGTAGCTCAACAAATCCCGCGAGTGGTTCAGATCGAGGAAGTCGATTTAATGTGAGCTGAATGTCATAGTGTCATTCAGAAAAAAGATTTCATTCAATAGTCACTTCTATGAATGCAAACATTAAAGTTAATTTTGTTTACTATAATTGATTATTAATACGTACTTATAGTTAGCTTCATGGGAAACTACATATACATGTATTGATACAGTATTATAATATCAAAAAATAACAATGTAACAAAAAAAGTATCAAAACAATGTTTTTAAGTTATTAATACTTGATCAAATTTTAAAACTTGATATGTCGCTATATGAAAAAAACAATAATCCTTCATTCTAATTACTTATCATACATACATGAAAATTGTAATAATTCGTAAATAAAAACATGATTTTTCTAAATAGCCCAGGAAAATTACGATTTTTGGTACGTCTGAGCGGCAGCATGTGAGAAAATTTATTTATATCTCGGCAATTATCGAGCGAAGTTCAATAACAAAACAATTTTGCAGGAAATTTAAAAACCTTTCGATTTGATAAGGTACTTTCTATGTAGGAGTAGCCGAATTCGAGATATTTACGAAAAACGTTAAAAAATAAGTTCCGTTCAAAAATGAAAGAAAATATTTAAAAAATCATACCTTGGAAACTATTGGTCGTATGATGATGAATAAAAAACGATTTTGTAGAATTTAATAACCTTTAATCTTTATAAGAGATATTTTCTACATAGAAATAGTAAAATCCGAGATATTTACGAAAAAAGTGCGAAAAATCTGTTCATTTTCAAAATGACCAAAAATACAACACTCATTAAAAAATTCTATCTGGGAAAGTATTGATCGTACGATCTTCAACAAAGAACCAAACTGTTCGTAATTTTGTCAGCTTTTTTTGATAATGACCTTTATTTCGAAAAAATCAATATTTTCAGAGATATTTTTGAAAAACCGCATTTTTGGCCAGTTTTTTGAAGGCAAAAAGTTATACAAGCACGCGGGCGGCGGGGACTTCTAATGTGTTATATAATATGCCATTTCAAACAACTTCCTGCAAAAAAATCTTTATATACAATTTTGCTACCCAGGCGTACAAAAAATCGTAATTTTCCTGCTAAAAAGTTTCATTATAATTGTCAAATGCTTTGATTCAATTTTGATTGATTAATTATCAAAGTTCATAACTAACTTCGTGTGTTCAACAAAATAGGGCACGGGTCATTAATGGGAATTAATAAAACTAAATTGCGCTTTCAAAACAATTAGCGAGCGGTTTCTTTGTCTCAAATTACTTACAATTCCTTTTGTGTTTCTTTGAATAACTACAGAGCTGTAGCATACTTTATATGTGGTATTCCATTCATTTTCTGAATTCTTGATAGCTTTCAGCGATATTTAGACTCATTGTAATTATCGGGTAACGAATTACGTTGTCGCGATAAATCCAAGGAATAATTAAAATATCCTGTCGCGAACAGGAAAATAGCTTTCACCAATGTAATTATAGCAGCTTTGATTTGCACACCAATGAATATGCGATATTCAATGCAGAGAGATATATCTATCTATTCCTAAAGTTATTTAAATTAAACGAATAATCTTGAAATTATATTATAATAAAAATTATGAAAGTAATGTATGTACATTTTAAAATAAATATGGGTAAATGTTAAGTTTAAAACTCTAAAGCTAAGAAAAGAAATCTGTGTAAAGTAAAAATTAGTTTGTAATTACATTTTTATACATACATATTTAATTTAATATTATACAGTTTGTACATATACATATAATAGTATACCTACAAATGAGATAAATAATTAAAAAAAAGAATAAAGGATGGAAATAAAAGTAATATAGAACATGTCCAAAAGTAGCATGTGCATGAGAAAAACTGACAAATGTCGTCATAAACTTTTTATATTCACATTCATTATTATTGTAAGAGAATTTAGATCGGACGAAATGCAATTCATCGATTCTATGGAAATATTCTATATGTATGTACCTATATTACACAAAGGGAATATCTCAAATAAGCTCGAGCCGTTAAGACCATAGATAGTTTAATATACCCGAAACCATTGTTTATTCAAAATTGAGATTATGAGAAGTACAATGGCATATAAGATCCTTATAAGCTGCATAAATCTTGTTAAATTTATGCATTAAGATGTGTATCAGAGTTTCCGTATTTTATTATATAATTTAATATAATAAATTTATAAATAACATAATCACTAATCATTATGTCTACAAACGTATTTCAACAGATTCAATACTTACGCTCATTTCTACATGTGGATGATCGATAAAGACCATATCGGATTCCTCGCCATCTAATAAAATGGAGACGGTTTTCTCGCCGAATTCGTCGTCTGCAATATAAAGGCGAAAGTCTGTGCTAAATGTTGTTGAATATTGTAAAACTTGTAAATATTTAAACCTGTAAGCACTCCATCCATAAACATAACACAAATTTTCACTCTCAATCATCTTCTATCATAATACATAAATATTTATTTACATTGTTATTCATCGTACGGTAATATAATACATACTTGTTTTGTGATGCAAATACGCGTGTGAATTAATGTAAAACCAATCCGATATCACTAATTAGATATGCTTCGCGAATCAATAATAATAATTTATATTAAAATACGTGCAAACACACACTCCTTATTCCGGTTGAAGCTATTTCATTAATTTTAAAAAATTACTTTCTATCCATCAAATCTTGTCTATTTCTTTCAATATATTGTAAAAAATCATAAAAACCTTGAATAAAAACTTTCTAAAATAATTGTCTAATCAGAAATATATAAAAATGCAAAAATGTACATTTATCTATGTATAGAGAGAATGATGTAATTGACCGTAAGCTGAACTAACAAAGTGAATTTTAAGGAGACATGTCAAGTTAACCAGTACGGCTAATGCACTGCACAAACTCTATAATTTGTTGCGCCAGTTTGGACACCACTAACAATTCTAAACTACATTTACATGCCTACATTTACAAATGTATGTTGGAAATGACATTTCTGAGAGATCGTGGATCTAGATCAACAAATTATTCGCATAATCCGAAACATAATAGACCCTTGTATTAATTGAACAGCATTAATATACTAAATATTTCGAGAATATAGTATCAATAAGTAATTTAAAAACTCATCCATAAACGCAATATATAAAAAAATTTATCGTTTTTAAAATGAAAATTTAACAAAATATTATTAAAATGCATTCGTAATAAATATAATTAAAAATTTCTATATATAAAAAAATAAAACAAAATTATCAATTTTTATATAAAAAGTATTAAACATAAAATTGTATTGTAAAATTTGTCACAAACATTACCTATAATATATAAAATAATTCAATAAACAATAAAAGGACAATAAAAAGTCCATGAATTTCATAAGTCAAAACTGTGAGAAAAAAAATAAATAAATTTTCCGTCCATAAATAGAAGTAATTTTTGGCTGCGCTTTTTTGTTTATGTCACTTTAATTCACAAATAAATTAAAAATCACGGCGCACACGAAACGATAAAAATAACAAAATGTGTATAAACGGGTTGCAAAATAAATAAATGTAAAAATCAGTATTTTCTGTGACGCCGCGATAAAAACGCTACAAAAAAATTCACTGCTACAGTTTCACAAGAGTATCTCGATTCATTGATTTTCAATCTGCTAGAAACAGAATTGAAATTTTACGCGATGCATTATAACGCTGGCATATACCTACTTTTTATATTTTTACATTAAAATCCTTTCATTGGAATATTCATCATAAAAGGCAGATCATGACAAATTTTTCGTCAGAGTTAGTATATATTTCCCTTCACAGTATTTTCTTTATCTCGAGAAAGCACATCCATCACTGCCTGTCATTTTCTCTTTCCTTTTTTCCCCTCCAAGTGGCATTGTGAATTGAATTCATTTATGACAGAATGTGAAGTATTTCGAACATAGAATAGAAGATAAATGAACATAAGAGAAGAAGCTTATGTTTGGCAGAAAAAGTTGCGTAAATTTACTTACAATGAAATAGTAAGTGTAAAATGAATAAGCGATTTCAGCAAAGTTAGTGTTAAATCAAAGATAAAGACGATTTCATCTTAAAAAAAAATTTTATCACATAAATTAAAGGATTATCACTCCTTTTTGAATACAATTATATTTAATATTTCAAAATAAGAAGATATTAATTGTGTGTGTAAATAAAATAGGTATTTAATCTGACTTTGTTAAGAGTTCTCTTTAAGCATAATAAAAAAGCAGAAGTCTACATGTCTACATGTGAAGTCCATATGCAGGATTTAACAAACAAGCACAACTTTAGGAATGAATTGGTGGAATAAAAATAATAAAAAAGTTTATATAAACATTTGTCCTATTTGGCCTTGTTTCTGAGTTACAGACAGTTTTGAAATGTCCATAAATCTCGTTATAAACTAAGTTAGCGTAACATTTAAATGTTTTCAACAGACAGGGAGATCACATATGAAATATTGATAGTAAGGGGCCGTCCATATATTACGTAAATATATTTTTGGCCATTTTTGATCCCCCTCTCTAATTACGTGTAAAATTTTACCGATTATGCTCGATGTAAAATTAATATTGCTCATTTTTCATGCAGCAGACATGAAAAATCTTACGTAAAGATATGTATGACCTCCCCCTCCCTCATATAATTATTTGTTAAAATTTGACTGACCCCTCCCCTCTCTCCCAGTCATGTTCACGTAATATATGGACGGCTTCTAATTCAGTAGGTGACAATAAGTGAAATTGATTATACTACTTCAACTTCTAACGAAAATAATTGCTTGTAACGTTTCGATGTTTTTTTTATTATTTTTCAATTATTTGTTTTATTATTTTCAGGCCTCCAACGCTTGAAATTATACGTTGTAATTATACTTTGAAATTATACGTGTTTTAAAATATCAGCTATATACATAATTTTATATGATTATAAATTTGAATTAAAGGAACACTCACTTTTAACGAAATATAGCTCTAAATAAACAAAAAAAAAATAAACGCATAAATACATAAATTTAATGAATTAAAAATTCAACAGTAATTTATGTGTAATATAAAACTTTTAAATAATGTAAACTTTTAAATAATACCAACTGGTGGTGTAAGAGATAGTTGGATATATACGAAAAAGATGTATCCTCGCAAATTCCTCTCTCGATATATCGCGCGTCGTACGTTCTTGCACGTGGCGTTCGTGCACGTGTGTGACCGTCCGCGATCGCATAAAAGAACAAATATATGTACGGACCGTGACGCCTGTAAAACCTCGGCTCGTGCTCGAAACGATTGCAACCGACATTGCAACGTGCGCCGGCCGCAATTGCGAGGGCCGGATACAGGATCGTCCTCCTCGTGTATAGCGCACCTATACGTTTCCGAGCCGCGCGACCGGCAAAAATGTGGGGATTTTTTTTCCATTCCATTTTATTATTAACTCTCCTTTCGAGAAGCACGCGGTGGTGCATCCGGCACCCTCACGAAACTCACGAAACAAGAATCGTTTGATTGCGCTAACGATTTGTGCCTTTGTGTGAGCGGGTATACTTTCAATTAAAAGCTAATTAATTAATTCAGAGAAATTTAATTAAATGGCAAAAGTTTCATTTGATCATTGATATTATATTGCGCAACGAGTCTCTGCGTACAAAGAGTATAAATATTCGGATCGGTGAATATCAAGAGAGAGAATGCAAGATCCACCGAGTGACATTGTCGATAAAAAGTGAAACTCCTGAATAAACCTTCTTTGAAAAAAATATGTAGTGCTTCTATAGATTCCCTGCCAAGCTTTCCTCGATGACTAACGAAAACAAGTAGAAGGAAAAGAATCGATTTAAAAAAAGGGGAGATGAAATAGTTAAAAGACCGACGAAAAATAAAAGAAGAAAGGAAGAAGCCTTTGAAATTATACTCCAATGTGTAGCCCTACTTCTGAGACACACGGTGCGTGGAATTACGTCAAGTGTCAGAATGCAGAATCCTATACCAAAGATGTAGATTGTAGAACAATCAATCCTTTTAATGGAAAACAATCTTAGCGCTCCCGCACGTTGTCTTGTTGAAGGATGTCACGCGGCATTGTTCGTCGTGCGAGGGTGCACAGACTTACCTAGACTAGCGTCGTACGTGTTCATATACTCGCTCGTCATGAATTGCGAGACCAAGGCGGTCTTCCCCACTCCGGAATCTCCCAGTAAGACAACCCTGTACTTCGAAATACTTTCCTCGACGTCGCTTTCGGAGCTAGCGTCTTGCCCGCTGCAGCAAGAACCCTCGAATGGCGATCTTTCACCCGACACATTGCTGTTTCTGCAAGCAGAAAGAAAAAAAAAATATTGAGAAATTATCGCGATAATCGTAATGAAATATTTAATATTGACACGAAAAAGTTGTGAATGTTAAAAATATTAAAATTACTTTTTTAAATTAATATTTACTCACATTTAGTGTAGGAAGAAAAAATTTATTCATATTCCGTACCGTAAATGTTTTTATAAATTGTAATGGTTAATTAATCTTGTTATGCAAAATAATCTTTTCTATCAATATATAATGTTTTGAAGAATATGGAGTTTATAGCCATTCTTATAGTAATCTTTCATCTTCTTAACATGTTTTACTCGTCATATTATTTAAATTAATGCAGTGTTATTTTCCTGTTAGCCATTATTGTGTTTTAACGAGAACATGTGGAATGCATGCTCGTATTTTCATACATGTATTTTCTTCCCTTTAGGTCTTATGCAAATTTATCAACGGGAATTTTTTGCAAATACGTATAACTGCGTGTATTCTTTGTACGTGAATATATTAAATAATAATTAGAATCAGTTTTTCATTTATAATTTCGCAATAAAGTGTTTTTTTCCAATTTTCTCAGGATATTTATATTCGTTTCGTGTAGTCTAACTACATGCATTTATTAATATTTGTTATAGCACGAATACATATACAGTATATGCAAATTAAAATGGTGAATTGTATCCGTCAGAGAAATACTCATAAAAGTACCACGTTGCTCTAAATATTGCATTTTTTTAATTACAGAGAAAAAATTCTTTCTCGAAAATTTTAACAGGATCACGTTATTTTTTGTATCAATTCTCCGGGAGCTCTTCAAGGGGCTCCGACGAAATTGCATTTTCTTGAATGACAGTTTTAGACGACGAAGAAGGGGCGTACCGTATGACAGAACCTCGTCCAATTCGTAACAATATGGGAGAACAGGAACTGCCATAACAATCTTATTTCTGAAAGACGCCATGTCTTTCCGGGACTTGAGGGCTTGAGGACGGATGAAAATGCGCGTCGCGACTGTTATATTCGAAATTATGTGATATATAAGAAAATGGCATACGGAAAGAATAATTTTGCTGAAAAATTTAAAAGTTTTGCTGAATATTCCTCAATAGAATTAGCTAAACGTCATTTGATTCTAGCAGCAAATATTTTTATAAGCTGTATCGCCTAAATTTTAACAACTAATAAATTTAGCTTTGGCAGTAACGATGTTAGCTGTCCCTATATTTTAAAGACACACATTAGCTGCCACGGCTATAATTTAGCTGTATTGACTAATCCTTTCTCTGCGTGTGACATCTCTAAACTTTTAACATCTCCCGAAGATATATAAACTGCAGTGAAAACGTAAACACGAGATAAACCAACGTATATATGAGAAGCCTTAGGAATATCAGGTAATGTAATAAAACGCTCGCGTATTGCCTTTCGTTAGGTGTCGTAATGTAATACATTTGGCACAACGTCGGTATGACCATAGTCGCATAGTTGGCGTAAGCCACCGATGTGCGTTATTGCGTTTACATACGCGGGATGCATGTAATGTCATTGTGCGATACAATATCCCAATTTCGAGTGCGCCACGGGGTTTTGGCACGCTGTAATAATTATCGCGTTTCAGCCGCCTGCCTGTATACAATATCAATCCAGCGGATTTCGGCGTTCCCTAATGGTCGACAAACTGAGCCAGCTTAACTTTGATAAGTTTGCAGATTACAAATGTCAACCGTAATACCCGTGCAATAATGATACACAGTTGTTTGAATCAGATCAAAATTTTAACATAACATTGTATGTATAGAAAATTGAATATGCATTACCATTCATTCCAACTCTCATTCTTAAAAATAAAATAAAACACATTTTTGTGCGTTTCTTTTATTTTGGCAACATAATTTGATCATTTTTAATTATAAAATAATAAAAATAATTAGATGGTAAACGGATAAAAAAGATCCACGAACCACAACTCTAATGCTCTCCAAAGCAAAGGAGGGAAATATAAGTATGCTTGAAAAATTAATTAACAGAATTAATTAACGGAAATAAGTAAGACTGTAATAAAAGCAAAAGAGAGACTTTCTGATGAGAAAAAATTGTAAGTTTTAAAATTATATCAATTCGTGACAGATATTTTAATATTATTTTATAAGTTAAGTAATATTGAATTTTTTGTGGAAGCTATGTTGCCAGAATAAAAAAAAATTACGCAAGAATATATTTTATTTTATTTTGAAGAGTATCCTGGAATATTATGCATGTGTATATAATCACTACGATATACTTTATAAATGCGTATCGCTTATCGAGTATGCAATCACGGTTATTAATCACCATTACTGCAACAAAGTAAAAAGAAAATATAGAAAACCGTGGCTCGGTTATCGTTAAATCGCTTGCTCGTTAAAGTTGCGCACATGTATTCCGCTCTGCACGACTGCTACCGTTACGTTTAAAATCAGACAAAGGTACAAAAATAAAGCGGAGCAGATGCGGATCAGATCAGAGTTTCCACGCTGGAACTATTTTCGTTAGTATTGCACAAATGCGCTCGTCTATAATGTAAATACAAAAATAAAGCCAAAGACCTTAGTTATCAATAGGAAGACTTTTGTTAGCGGTACCTTCGTTAAGGTCTCCTTCTTTCGTTTGTTTAAGATCTCGCGAAAATACATTCTCTTTGTTAGATTTCAACTAACAATAAGATGGGCAGTAGAGAATCATTGTTTATCATTATACGTTTATAGAATCTATGTATTGTGTGTACATTCATAATACTGTATAACATTACAAATTTTCGAAAATAGGGTAAACCCGGTATATACGCCGCACCTATTAAAAACTTAATTTATCAGATATTATCTATTATGTTTAAGTTAAATAAACTATGCCAGTAAAAACTTTATACTGTTTACTATTATAACAAAAATATTAGAAATTCAAATTATTTATTTTTTATATTAAAAAAGAAATTTCTTTAAACCCTGCATTTTTGCCTTATAAAAATAGGGGTGAATTATAACGGCATGAATGGGATAAATGACTCGAAAAATATACAAATAATCTAAATAATAATAGTGAATAACACATGAATTGACAACGTAATTTGCATTTACTCATTAATAAATAAATAAAAACGTATTATTACAGATATGAATAAGTACATACATAAGTATATACAT